CGTTTTTTAATAATTGGGGTGACCGAATGGCATACTGTAAGGCCAGTAGAGGGAGCCACATGAACGAAATCGTTTTTCATTCTTGACGCGGATACTTTTAGCTTCACAACAAAAAAAAAATTAATAAAAAATATCAATGTATGCTCATTTGATCGCATTTTTAAACGTACCAATAGATGGCCCACCCTATATATACTACATTTGTCATTTGAACTGCGCACCGAATTAATTTTTTCGAACTTAACGCAGAGAGAGCCGGACTACTGAAATAATATCACAATTAAATTCTGGGTGCTTTCCAGCAAGGACACAGTCAGATGCAGTGAATCATTATCTATTATTATTATACATATCCTTGTTGTTTGCCTACGTTAAGTATCACCCTCTGATACTCAATAGGCATCTGTTAAAGAGATCTTAACATGCTGGAAATCTGTATAAATAAATTTATTTATTGCGAAAAATATTACCTCTGCTAGGAGTCGAGAATCCGTATCTCTGTAGCATTCCGTGCGAGCGTCCTAAGCCTTTAGAGACGACCAAGGCCTTAGTAATATTCTACGCAATGATCAGTACATACATGTATGGAAACAACGCCTGCTTTCAGGCCACGTAATATACTTATTGTTTATATTATTGAGAATAATCTGTCATTTTTTCACAATTTTGTGATTGTGTTGAAATATCTCCAATACGTCCTTAAAATAAATAAAAAATGTAAGCCGACACTGTGTAAATCTTGTGTGTATTATTATATTAATAATAATTGACAATTGCAGACGTTTCAATCACAATTCCGAATTCATTTTTGACGAGTTGTAGTGTTAAAATAAAAGCAAAGAATTTTAGCGAATCTCACTGTTATTTTTTCATCCCAATTGATCGTATGATTTTATCTGTTCCAGAAACGGAGGAAACGTTTAAAAAAAAATACTAATAGTCCCGATAGAGAATGAAGGAAAATTGCAACGGTCACGCACGCGATTACGCGGCCAGGACGTTTGTATACACGTTTCAAGGACAACAGCGCGCGAAGTTGAGTAATCCGCCAGCACCGCTGACGAATTCACGGAACAGAGCCGGTGAGCAAATTCCGCCAAGAGGGCCCCGCTATGTATAAACACCGAGAACACTCGGTCGAAATAAGTATTATTTTGACGGCGTGCCGTTCTCTCCAAGTGCGACGATATTTAAGCGCTGAATGAGTAAGCGAGACAGAAAGAATAACATGACACGTGTGACGTGTACAAGGATATTATAATCGCGCTAAAAAAAGAAACAATCTAGATGTAAGGCGAATAAGGTTGAAAGCACTCTCTAAAGAAAAAAAAATCAGCTTCTATCGAGCGCGATTTCTTGAAGGAAATAACTGATCAAAGATGAGGACGCGAGGACCGATTTCGTATCGTGTCAAATAGTATAATATGTATTTCGACGATTTTTATTTTTATCTGTAACTTTTAGCGGCAATTCGGGTATCATTATATAATACATTACAATCAGGGTTAGGTAAGTTAATGTTTTTTTAAAACTAAATTAAGTTAAAGTTATTGATTTATAAAATTAAATTTAAGTTGAAGGAATAAAGAATTAACTTAATAAAAGTTAAATTAAGATTGAATTGACTTAAGTTTAAAAAAAAGTTAATTTTTAAAAAATTCATATGTAAGTTACTTATATTATATATAAGTAAGAGTCACATTATAAGGCGTTTTTGTCAAAATCTTGCGAGAGAGAAGAGTGTATGTTTGCATTATATCTCTTTCTTTAACCTTTATCTAACTTTCTTTAACTTTTGAAATGACTGCATGTTTATGACTACACAGACTAGATATTTGTTACAAAAAAATATATGTAAAAATTTAGAAAATGGATGGATGTATAATACTACTCTACAACAATTTTTCATCTAAGGCTCATTTCATATTTATGTTGCTGAAATATAACGTTTGTGATACCTAAAATTAGTGTAATTTAAATATAAGCGGGAATTGATAAAACTTAACGAGTTAATAAAAACTGACTTGTAACTCTTATTATAGATCTCTCATCAAAAAATCATGGAATTTTTTTCTAAATTAATTTTCTAATGTTTGATTTTATAGAAAACAAAAAATATTAATATTAAGAGAGATAGAAACATTTTTAATTTAAAAAAAGTTAATAAATTAAAGTTTAAAAATAACTAAATTAAGTTAAAAATTAATCAAATTAATGTAAAGTTATTAACTTTTTAACTTTTTTTTTTAATTTTTAACATCTTAACTAGTTACTACCCATCCCTGATTACAATCATAAAATCGGGAAATAGGATGGAAGACGTTTGGAACACTAATAGATATCAGTATAACCTTACTTTTGAAGTGAGTTTACGAGACTCACTAAAACTCATGGTCTCAATCTCGTGCAGATTATAGGTAAAAACTCAGTTGAATCTCACTTGTCAGAATGCAAAAGGAACTGAATTATGACAAGTCACAAGTGAGAATTATCTGAGAATCGGGGTGTAAATGAAAAGAAACTATTAAAGATATACGATCGATCACTTGCGGAGGTGGTGAGGAGGGTACGCTATTGTTCTACATTGATAATACTAATCTAATATATCAAAATCTTTTAATAATAAGAAATGCTAACTTATGATTTATTAAAATTAAATATATAACATCGATAATAATTGCTAATTTTTAATTATGAATCATAATATTAATATTCTATTATTAGAAAATGCAAGTAATTTAATATTTTATGATTATCGATAACTTGGCAACGTTGCATTCTGAAAATGAGGTTGGCATTCCTACTCAAGTTGCACACTAGTAATTGACAATTGAGGTTAAAATATTTTTCATGTAAGTGTTTTACTGTTAAAAACATAACAATAGGTTATAAGTAAGCACATATATATCTTCAATCATCACACACAATTGTCACAGGACGAAGCAAGCCGTAATTTAACGTAATGTCGGAAGTCAACAGCGTTGCCAAGTTTTCCGCGTATATTCCTTTAGATGCTCAAATAAGCATATTTTCATCAACTTTTCGCTTGTATACAAATAAACTACACGGGATGAATGGAGTTAATTCTTGCAAGGATGTAAAAAAAGATTTGCTCCAACTATTTATATATTTTTTTTATATGGATCGTATTTTAAAAGTAAGTAATTATGTAATACATCAATCATTCAATGGATATGTCATGTGACACCATGCATAAAACTCTTTCTTTAACTCTTCCTTTTTTAAAAATTACACAATCGATTTGAAATTTTAATATAGTATTGTTTTCGTTTTAAATAATATTCTGGGTAATTTTTAGATCGATCGAAGCATTTTGATTTTTCGATCGTACCTCCTTAATAACATGATGTAGATTTGTAATCCCTGGTGTCGACAAAAAATCTATCATGGTGCTAAAGCCACCCCACAATGATCCCCCAGGTAACAATAAGTAATATTTTCACGTCAATAATTAGAATGATATTTCATTTGTGCGTTTTTGTAGTATGACAAATTTTTCAAGCCTGTCGATTGGCTATGGGATAGAGAGATCCTCTCTGTTCTGTACATGTCGTACGACAAAAACACGCAAATGAAATAGCACTCTTAGTCATTTTAAATTATCACCATCAGATTACGTACCTATTTAAGATGTAATGACGTCATTTATTTATCCATTCTACGACGTATTTACAACATCATATACTTATTGACGTCGGATAAATGATCGATTAATTCGAAATGACGATATGTACTAGTAACGTTATTAATGAATAAATTAATAACGTCGGTTTATATGACGTTATGTGGTTGCAGCGACGAATCTACTTATCATTTTTAAGACAGGACGTCAAATTAGTCAAATTCATCAAAAACGAGTATAATAATTATCGAAAATAGACGACACTGTGCTATTTCAGATGTTTTTTTTAGTATTACACTAATGGTATTGAATCTACACCGATATTTTGTAGAGTAGGTTGATTACTTAGCCTGTTTATTCAAAATCTGT